CACAAAATGCAGCAGCACAGTTCAGATGTGACCAACTGATGGGCCGCGAGAAAATTTTGGTGGTCCACAGAAAAATTATTTGCATTTTGTATATGGCACTAAATCAGGGGGTCCTCAAACTATGCTCCCTGGGAGGGATGCATGCAATGAATGTTTGTGTTGCTGCAGAGAGTCTCTCCATTTGGGGTCTTTTTGTGTGGGTCAGAGGGGAGGGCAGAAATTCCGACTTGGGGTCTGTTTCGGCCTCCTGGTGGGGGGCTTTGGGCGAAGGCTGGAGGGGAAGCGCCACTGGTGGCAAAGAGCCAGGGAACATTGTTCCAGTGGGACTGCATCATGGCCAGGAACTGGCTGACTATCTCAGCCCCCCGAGCCTCCAGGTGCTGGTACCTGGCCTTGCACTCCCGCAGGTCTTCCCTCTGCTTGGAAAGCCTATGCTCCTAGTCCTCAGTGAGGTGCCTCTGCTGAGCCTCCTTCTCAGTCAGATCCAATTTAAACTGAGCTATTTTGCCAACTCTTTCTGCTGGTGGCTGCTTAGCTCCAGCAACTGCTTCCTGTTGGGGCCCTAAGGAGCCCGGACAGGCAAGCGAGAAGTGGCTGGGAGGGGAGGGGCGAGTACAGGCTGGCGAGGCGCCCCTTGATGTGAGTGACATCAAGTTGGCCACGCCTACCCATCCACATGACCACCTAGCCACACCCACCCACCCAATCATTAGATCATATTAGTGATTCGCGAGATTTAAAATTATGAATTTAGTGGTCCCGGAGGTCCGAAAGGTTGGGGACCCCTGATCTAGGCTGATATAGTTTTATTCACTTGGTCGAAGTGCTGGGAAAAAAAGCATGCCCTGATCATTGATATCTTAATGCGCTTGGTGTGATACGAGCCTCCTGATTCGACCTAATTGTGGTTTGTTCCACCAGCCATTGATGAAACTTGTATGCCACCCAATGGCTCTCTCTCCCCACCTCCTCCCCCCAGAGAAAATGCCAACCTTTGAGTCTTCTGCTGGCTTCCATTAATTGCAATGTTGCTGAAATGGATTCCAGATGCTGCAAATTTTCTTTCTGACATTTCCTCTTAAAAGAAAAATAATAATCCAGGTTAGAGCCTGCCAAAGCTTGTGAGGATGAGCAAATAAATGTACAAGAAACAGAAACCAGATGGCGAAGGGAGTTAAATAAGGAGGGCCACAGCTGTTTGCGCAATTCTGCTTCCTATATTGAGCCTAATTTGTTATTGTTTAAAATATCTACATTCTGCCTACCTACATAGAAATACGTCCCTAGGCGGATGCTTGAGTGCATAGATCTAAATAGGAAAAAAAAAAAGCTTTTTAGAGGCAACCTATAAGTATAAACAGAGGGACGCGGTGGCTCCATGGCTAAGAAACTAAGCTTGTCAATCAGAAAGCTCGGTGGTTCGAATCCTAGCGCCGTATAATGGAGTGAGCTCCCGTGACTTGTCCCAGCTTCTGTCCACCTAGCAGTTCAAAAGCGCGTAAAAATGCAAGTAGAAAAAATAAGGACCATCTTTGGTGGGAAGGTAACAGCGTTCCTTTGACGTTGAGTCATGCCAGCCACATGACCACGGAGACGTCTTCGGACAGCGCTGGCTCTTCGGCTTTGAAACAGAGATGAACACTGCCCCCTAGAGTCGGGAACGACTAGCATGTATGTGCAAGGGGAACTTTTACCTATAAATATAAACATGCATAGAGTTAAGTAAGATAAAGTTTAAACACACATAGATGTACTTACACTTTATTTTGGGAAGTGTATAAGTGGTATAATTATATATAGTACAATTATAGAGTTGGGAGAACAACTCCTACTCAGGACAGAAATTTAAAATAAAGTGTCCCTATGACCAAACATATTCCGTGAATAAGGATAAGGTAGAGGTTCCCCTTGCACATATGCGCTAGACGTTCCTGACTCTAGAGGGCGGTGATCATCTCCGTTTCAAAGCCGAAGAGCCAGCGCTATCCGAAGACGTCTCAGTGGTCATGTGGCCGGCATGACTCAACGCCGAAGGCGCACGGAACACTGTTACCTTCCCACCAAAGGTGGTTCCTATTTTTCTACTTGCATTTTTTACCTGCTTTCAAACTGCTAGGTTGGCAGAAGCTGGAACAAGTCACGGGAGCTCACTCTGTTATGCTGTGTTAGGGATTTGAACCGCCGAACTGCTGACCTTTCTGATTGACAAGCTCAGCCTCTTACCCACTGAGCCACCGCGTCCCTATTCAGTGAATAAGAGCCGGCTATTTCCTCGTTTCTATTGTTGACTTATTTTTACTGTTATAAGTATTCCTTTCTGCCTTTCTATAATTGAAACCTCTTCTTTTATTTGCATCCCGCCTTTGGTTATTTTTACAAATAACACAAGGTGGTAACACATAGCCAGCTCCTCTTCCTCCTCCTATTTTCCCCCCCCCCCATAACGACAGCCCTGTGAGGTGGAATGGGCTGAGAGAAAGTAACTGG